ATCTCCAACTTCAGCGATGTCGAAGCCCTGGTTGTTCACCGAGCCGGCGGGTGGAGGTGGCGGCAGTTCTTTGTCAGGTGGATCATGGCGTCGCCGCCCTTGTCCTCCGGGCCCCTCAATATCCACAGAGGTCGGTTTTTCCGGCAAGGAGATCGTCATATCCTCTGACAATGAGGAGGATCGGGTGCCACCACAGGAGCAGCAGCAGCCCCGCCTCCTCGCGGAGGTCGCTCTGATGGACAAAGAATTTATCCGTCAGATGGAGATCATAACGGAGCGATTGCTCCGTCATATGGGCTCGGTGCAATCCTCACCGCCGCATGTGGTCAAGGAGGAGCCGGCGTCCCTGCCACGCTACCGCGTCAAGCGGAAGCCATGCTAATAGTTCAAGTTTTTTTACTGAGAGCTACTCATGAATGAGCTGAAACTTGGCATGAACATCGTTCACTCAAGTATCTTTCACCACAAAAAAATAGAACTTTTTTTAAAATTCACTATTCACATGGTGTAGATGAGCTCGGGAGCCGAATAGATATTGGCATTTAAGTTCATAACATAAATTTAAGTACTGTCACAGGATTGCAGGATCAAAAGGTCGACTTAGCAACTAAAGAACCAGAGGAACTATTAGCATGAGCGAGGAAATTATAATAATATTTCGTTGTTTTGCCCACTTTTTCTTATTAGTAAACAAAGACATACAAAGCCGTAAATTAAGAAAAATAAAGTTGATGTCATTATAAAATCAACTAAAGAGAAAAGAATAGTGAAAATGGTGTAACACCCAAAAAATAAACTAAGGATGAATGAACAAGGACATTAGTACTATTACCTAAAAGAAGAAAGAAAATAAAAAATAAAACAAGTAAAAAAGACGTGCACTCTTCCTTATTGTGCGCAAAACTTGCACACAAACTACACAAAGTTTGCACTCTTCTATACTTGCAAGAATAAGTGTAAACTAGTGCAACTTTAATAGTAATTATGATTTAAGTATATTAAATGAAAATGAATTTCATTTTAAGGTCATAACACAAATTTAAGTAATGTGACATGATTGCAACATCAAACCGTTGCCACATGCATAAACATATGCGAAATTCAATCGCCCAAAATTTAACCAAGCAACAAAAACCAAGCAAAGCTATTAACATAGGCGACAAAATTAAAAGGTTCATTTGTTCTACTCACTTTGTATTATTATTTGTAAACATAGACATTTAAAAACATAAAAAAATAATGAAGATAAAAAATTTAATTCAGAAACATAAATTTCAACTGAAGAGGAAAGTGAAAATGGTGTTGCCCAAAAAAATCAGAAAATAAAATAAAAACATAAAGAAGAATTATTCTAAGGATGAATAAATTAAAGGCATTGGTATTACCTAAAAGAAGAAAGAAATTAGAAAAAGAAACAAATAAATACTTGCACACAAAATACATCATCAACTAGTAGTGTAACTCATATTTTTACATCTATGTTATACTCAGTGATCGAACAACAAAATAATAATGTTGACGATTAATCATCTCTTGATGCATCAAAATTAAATTACATCTTGTATCAATGACGACACCTCCCACAACCCTCTCTATCACGCACACACTCACGGACGGACGCACCCACACGCGCACACAACACATGCATGCACACATCTGTATCACGCACAAGACACAACATACACTCTTTTTCTAGAAGCACACGAACACATACTTGAATCAGTAAGTGGACTGTGGGCTCCAGTCCCGCCAGTACAGGCCGATGCCTTTACATGGCCTGCTACAGAGGAAACTAATTTTACTGACGCAAACTAAAAAATTAGGCACCTGACCATTTAGCAAAACTGGAAAAAAATAACAATTTGAATACAATTGTCGGATGCATGATCTCATGTCCTTCGAGGCTTCGACCTGCCAATAAAAGAGGCCCCGCACCCCAGCATCCCCCCCCCCCACCCACACACACTAACTCGTTTGTACGTGTAGCATTACTCCCTTCTCCCTCCTGCCCACACGAACACCACTAACGCCCAAACCGTCACTGCCGTCGAAGGCCGCCGCGAGCAAGGCG